AATTTGTTTTATAAGATAGTATAGATATATATGTTCACAGTTACTGAACATATATACGAATGAGTTATATATAAATGTGAATATATTAAAAAAATGTGTATATGAAAAGCATGCATGATAGTGTAATTGTCTAATATACATATCAATAGAAATTCAACAATCATATTGAATCTAATAAATAAAAAAGAATATCGTGTTCATCGGGTTGAGTTCAAATAATAGTAACCCAATATCAATCAAATACATACGGTTTGACAATTTTACAACTCGATTAGACATCGAGTTGCTTCGGATTGAATTATTTCGTGTTGGGTTAGGTTGGGTTGATTGGGTTTTTGAGCACCCCTAGTTTATACAATTCGAAAATTGCAAGTATTTTATTTTGTTTGAAAAAACATAATTAAATTAAAAAAACATATGATTTTTAATTTCAATAAAAACCGAATTAAATTAAATCATTTATTATAAACCATCTTTATGGTCCAAAAGGATCGAGGTCACCCCCAAGAAAAGTGTATGTTCCATGTTAAAGGAGTGGGCACAACCCAAAACACTCTTTCTTTCAAGGCAAAATTTATACTTTTTAATAGTTTTTTTTATTATAATATTATATTTTTATAGTTTTTTTTATTATAACAATTTATTTTTAAAATATTTTTTATTAGAGCATCGTATTTTTAAAAATTTATCCGTCATAATATTGGGTAGCTTTTTAAATTAAATTTACCCATTATACAAAGTTTATTTGTCATCCCTTCGTCCACGTAGGCTATCCACATGTACGATAGTGTTGACATGACATTTTTATTAAAGCATTGCACTTTCAGATACTTTGTTATAGTGTCACTAATTTATATTACAACATTGTACTTTTAATTTTAATATTTTTATCATTCAAACATTGTAAATTTAATCAAACCTGCTTATTAAAGATTATAATATCAGAAATTAAACATGTTTACAAAAGATCTTTATTTCATGAATAAAAATATTCATAAAAATTATAATATCGTAAATTAAACATGTATATAATTCAGACATCACTTTTTTATGAATATTTTTATTCGTGAAACAATGATCTTTTGTAAACGTTCTTTTTTTAATTTATGATATTAAACATATTTGATTAAATTTACAATATTTAAATAATAAAAATATTAAAATTAAAAATACAATATTGTAATAGAAATTGGTGATGTTATAATAAAATAATTTTGAAAGTACAATGCTAAAATAAAAATTGTCATCTTAGCACTATCGTATATGTGAACAACATACGTGGACGATAAGGTGGCAAAAAAATCTGGTATAATGGGTAAATTCAATTTAAAATGTTACCCAATGCTATAACGGATAAATTTTTTAAGATACGGTACTTTAATAAAAAAATATTTTGAAAGTACATTGATGTAATAAGAAAAATTGAAAGTACAATGTTATAATAAGAAAATTTGTAAAGTAAGTTGATATTTCACACATTTCACCTTAATTTTTATCTAAAATTCATAATCTGCTGTAATTTAATTTCCTTCTTTTTTTGTTAAATTATAACGCCTCATATCAATGGTTGTATTTACTTGGTTAACAAATGATTATATCACTGTATATTTAATAGTTATTTTTTTTAGGGTTGGGTTCACGTGAGACCAGCCTGTTTTCGTGAGACCCGTGAGACCACATTTTTACACGTAAACTTCACAGCAAAAACGCTGTGAAGGTTTAAAAAAAGTCGAACCTTCACAGCAAAAACACTATGAAGGTTTTAAAAAGTTACCTTCACAGCATTTTGCTGTGAAGTTTCAAGTGTAAAATGTTGGTCTCACGGGTCTCACGAAAACAGGCTGGTCTCACATGATCCCAAGTCATTTTTTTTAATATATAACAAATATGATAACATATTTATTTAAAAATAATAATTTATTTAATAATAATCGTGTTAGATAATACACATGTTGGATGGAAATACTAGATTTTTAAATGAAATTCCATGTATTATTAGGTTATATTTTTAATCATCATTTAAATTTGTTTCACATTATGAAAAACCTATATTTGTTAATATTTTCTCTTTTTTTGTTATAAAAAATTACTTGTGTTAACCACAAAAGTGATGTCCGATTGGTTTGACTTTGGGTTCCAAAGGTCAAAAGTGACTGGAGGTCTCATGTTCGAATTCAAAGAAAGATAAAAATCCTTTGTGACCACAGAGGTTCAAATGCAGTGACATCATGCTACCCGCAAAGCGGATGGTCGTCCTGAGATTAGTCGGCTTCATAACGGGTTGCAGGGACGGACCCATATATATTTTTTTTCAAACGATGACACCATTTGACTATAAGAAAAAAAATATAGGGAAAAAATTTCAAAAGAAAACGACACTAAGAACTTTGGTCTGGGTGGAATAAAAGCTTTGTAAACCAACTATACCAAATAAAACTTGCTCTCATTGTAGTTTCAAAATACATACGGTGTCACACAACTAATTAATACGGTTGCACCTTTCACGAATCTAATTTTTTTACCCTTCGACGGAGGAATAATACGGTGGCACGTGCCACCTATACCACCAAAATAGATACGTCCATGGACCATGGCGGGTTGGATATCCAGAAAACCAAGCTTAAACCAATCAGACACTACCCTTGTGGTTAACCATTTACACTCTTATTGCTAAATCTTACAAACACAATAAAAAATCGCGCGTTTTTTTGACAAAAATTCAAGTAGGTCATCAAACTATTACTCGGGTTTTTTGATCAATTTTATTAAAACTAAAAATTACTGGAGGTGATTAAAATACCAGTTATTGAAAAATGTTTGCTACTTAGAACATAAAAAACCTATAACTTATTTCTGGTTAAAATATTAAAAATAAAATTAAAAAGAATAAGGGTCAAAGGCTTGTCGTTGTCAACCGAAAAACAAGGGGTTGCCAACAACAAAACGAATTAACGGTTTTTCAAAGACGAGAGGGATGATGGTCTGCCCCTGCACGGTGGGGTAGGGTGGGGGAGGAAAGGGTCGATGTCCGATGGGGGCCCGATGAGTGTACATTGTATAGTGCAAGTCTTGATTCTCACATGCAATTTACGTGTCATAATGTCGTGATGAAACAAATACTAATAGTATTATGTGAATATAAACATATCTACGTTGATATATATGGACCGCTAAACTTTTATATATAAATGATGTTGAACCCACTGAGTGGTCTCACGAAATACGAAGCATCTTTTTAGGAATAACTCTGATATTTGACATTTTTCCGGTAACCATGGATATCCAGACAAGTTTATGCGTGCCTACCAAGGGACTGTTTGACAGTTGCCAAATGATTTAGTGCAAAATTATTAAGAGGCTCTCATGATATAGTGCAAAATGAAATATAATTGTTTGATAATTATTTACAATGAAATTAAGACATTGAATGGTTAAGGAAGACTCATGATACAAAATCATTCAGAGAGTTTTCGAACCATTAAAAGACAGATTTTTTTTTGCGAAACAAGATTCACCTCTTAGCTATTCAAAAGTTGTCTTTTAATGGAACTATTAAAAGGTAAACAAACAACCCCTAAGAACGAATTTGCTTATTTATTTACTTCAATATGCAAAACCAAGAAATTCCAAAAAATAATAAATAATTATAAACTGTGGCAAATTTGGAATAAATCTAAAGTTCAAGGGTGGATTGTGTTCTTCTATAAAGATTCCCAAGCGGCATAGAAATCTCCGAGGTCTGATTTTGTTTTGTGCAAACCTGACAAAACCATTTGTCTTCACACCTCCAAATTTCACAGTTTTTACACAAAACCCCTTCAACTTTAAGTTCATACGTATTACCCCCTTCAACCTTTTCTTTTTCACTTTGCTTGACAAAATTAGTAGATGAACATTGATGGAATATATGTTTAGAGTTTCATCTAAAAATGACAAATTATACAAGTAATCATGTATTTTTCTCTCTCCTTTAATTTGGTCACTGGACTTTAAAAACTGATGTTTAAATCGCTTTACTTTCAGATTTCATTATAAAAATAATTTAACTGTTAAAAAATTGTTTAATATAACTATTTAAATTTTAAAAGATCAGTATAAAAGCATTCAACAGTATCAGTATTAATATGTTACCAAGTCTGTATTAAAGCAACTCTAACTAAGTAACCCTCTAAATCACTAAATTGTGGGTCCTTCCACACTAATATATAAAAACCTCTCGAATCACAGTGCAAAATCCTCCTCTCCAAAACCCTCTTATCACAAAGATTTGCAGGTGGGGAACAATACACCCCAATTTCGGCGTTCTTGGTGAGATCAAACGTTTTTACTGGCTATTTTACCTGCCGGTTGAAGGGGTTTGGCCAACAGACGTAAAGTTTTACCAACTGGTTAGAGATGCTCTTAATATTCCCATTTCTAGATTTGTGTCATGTTATACCTCGAAGAGTTAGAGGTTGCTTGTTTATCTCTTAATAGTTGTATTAAGAGACAATCTTTGAATTGTTAAGATGTAAATATTGTTTGGCAAAAAAAAATTTGTTTCTTAATGGTTCTAAAACCCTTCTAAATGATTTTGTATGATAGGCCCCCCTTAACCATTTAGCCCCCTAATTTCATTGTAAACAATTACCAAACAATTATATTTTATTTTGCATTATATTATGAGAGCCTCTTAATCATTTTGACCACTTAATCATTCTGCACCAAGCCATTCAGCAATTACCAAACAACCCCTGAATTTATTATACCACGTTATATTTATTATCGTGTAAACATAATTTTTCTAAACATCTCTTAAATTTATCGAACTTTTTAAAACCATGAAACATGTTTCCCAACGAAATCTATGTGTCTTGCGCATTATCGTAAAAAAACTACAGGGGTCTAAAATGCTTATTTTAAAACTCGATGGGGATGTTATTAAACTTGTTTAAAATCGCAGGGCCAAAAAAAATATTAGTCAATTTGTTACTCGGTCGGTCCCCCTCTCTCTCCAAAACACACATCAAACACCTTGAGGGCACAATTTCAATTTCAATTCAATCCAATTTGAAATCTCTGATTGCGAGTGGAACCTTTAAACTGTGGAGGTTTTCAAGCACTGTTTGATTCAAAGGTGAGTTAATTTAACTTTGTCGTTTATTGCGTCATCGTTAGTTGAGATTTGTTGCTGATTTCATCATCGTGTTGTATGATGATTTCAATTTCTGCAGGTTTTCTATAGAATCTGAGGTCTTTTTCGAAGTTTTCATGCTCGGATTCGATTCAAATGTAAGTCAATCGATTTTTCATGAACTTTGTTGTGGTTAATTGAAGTTTGTTACTAATTTCAACATTACGGCAAGTTTTTTTAGCTTAACTCTGTAAATAATTTCGAAGTTCATTTGGCTGATCTTCGTTCTTTTGGATTTATCGGTCATAGCTTTAGTAGAGTAAGGAGTGTGACTTAATTTGCTGTTCGATGTCGATTGATTTTGCTGATTGTTTGAGGTTTTGAATTTGGATTTCTATCGATTCTGATTCAGAGTTTGAATTCTGATTATTTTAATATCTTAAAGTTAACGAACCTTAATCATTTAATTTGAGCAAATTCTAACTTTGTAAATTTACGAGCTCTTTGATTTTTGTTCAGTGTCTAATTTCGAATCCGATTTTCTTACATCTCCAAGGATCATCCATTGTCATATAAGATATTCTTGATCATTTTTCAGATAGGTTTAAAAAATATCCCATCAGATCGGTGAGGATCGCGAATTCACAATCGTAACTTGAAATTTTAGCTTTCTTTATTATTTGTACAATTAGGGATACACCTTCAGCTTGATTTTTCTGGGTTTTTTTATATATTTTATATACTCGTAGTTTATATAAAGTAACGCCATCCTCTAGCATCATTAGTCAAAAGAACAGTTCATTTTTTTGATATTCTTGTAAGACAGAGCATCCCCTACAAATATGCTATATTTTATTTAAAATAAAGTATTAAAAGTCAAAATCTCTATAATTTTTTTTTTGCTAAATCCATTTTTTCTCCATTTTAACGTAAGTGTTGGAGATCTCTTAGCTGTCCTTTTTTAAATTCAAAATTTGGATCATTTGTTAAACGCTGTATGAGTCAATGACAACATGGACATGCTTGAAAGTCACCACATAAATGTTGCTTACCAATACCATTTAAAAAGGCAAAAATACCCTTTTTTGCTTTTCCTACAGCGACTTTCATTTTGTTTTCATTGTTTCTGTCGTGAAGTGAGCAAGAAAAGGGAATAAAAGGTAGTACTTTATTATGTCTTTCAAAAATTATAATCATGATAAGGTATTTCATTACCATCAAAAGGGTAGAAAAGAGGTGCATATAACATTACCCATTTCAAAATATTTTGATTAATAGTATCACATTTTGTTAAGCAATTTGTCAGGTCAAATGTTATATTCATTTTCTTTAGAGAAAGAGGAGCAAAGAAATTCCATTTGTTTAAGATCGATTTTTATTCTAATTTTAGTTAGGATATTTGTTATTTCCTAATTTGTTTGGCTTAAAGATCTTTGTTACTTTGTATACACAACACCTTTTTGGATGGAATTCATGCAAGTGTGTAGTTTCTGCTTTATTTTTTTCAGGTATAGGTAGAAACAAGACGCTTGATACCATTGCTTAATTTTACAAGTCCTACAGATGGTAGATAAACTGTTTGTAAAGAGAACTATAAAAAGGTCTTAAATCACAAATAATTTTCCCAAAGAAATTGTTAATTTTATAGTGAGACAACCAACGCCATGAACTTATATATATGCTGACTTTTCTAACTATACCTTGGTTTAAAAGTTGTATTCTTTTTTTCTTACTTTTTTGGTGGATAGAAAATCTGGGCATTCAATTTATTAGTGTTGGTTACTCAAGGCCATGGTCTTTAGGGTGACTTTGGTACACTAGATAGGACATAACAAAATAGGGATCACTGTTCCATGTTTGACATGACTTTTGTGTGGAACAGATAGGAACATGGTGGAACAAAGTGGAAAAGGTTGTTCCACCCCCACCCCGTGGAACAAGCCTGTATTTTACTAATATACCCACAAAATAAAACATAATTCCCTTCTAAATTTTCAAATACGCCTCCCTCTTTACATTTTATCTATGCACTTATATATGCCGACTTTTCAAACTATACCTTGGTTTATAACTTGTATTTGTTTTTTCTTACTTTTTTGGTGGCTAGAAAATCCGGGCATTCAATTTATTACTGTTGGTTACTCGAGGCCTTGGTTTTTAGTGATCGGAATTTCAAAAACTATTGTTTGTTGTGTTTTCAGGGTTGAGCACAATTGTGTTGAAAGCCGTCTCCTATTGTTGACAGACACAACTTTTGTTTTCTTCAAGATTTGAGTAGCATTCTTTGAAAAGCCAACCAAATGAGGAAGCATCGTTTGAGAAATAGAATTAAGTCGCTAGTTGGAAGTCACATTGATCCCGACAAAGATGAAGAACTTAAAGGGAGTAATGTAGGTATGTATATACTCTATTGGACGCCTCTTTCCTTTTGTTTTTCATGTCATTCCCACTAGTTTTTGCTATCTACTTGATGTTGGTTGGTTTTCCTTAAGTTCCTATATGGATAAAGTTGACTGTGTGGATTAAGAGGGTTTTTTGCTTAGGACGCTTTTTTTTAGATGGTAGGAGCGTGTTCTTTAATTAGAAGGGTCATGTTTGGAAAAAAACTTGACTTTATGCATAAAGCTTTCCCTAGAATCGAACTGAATAAGCCACATTCTATATCATTAAGCTTCAATCAAACATTCATGTATAGCTGACTGAATAAGCTGGGAGTCCTATTAAGCTCATTAAGATGTTAACAAACTAGAGTTCGACATTGGCTAGACTTGGACTGTTTCTCCTGTTTATATGTTGGAATCTCCCTTCTCGATACAAGGATTTTTTTGGAGAGTAATCTAATGGGATTCCACCTATTCTCACATGGTATCAGAATCAGTGTCTATCACTCCTGGGACTCGACACTCTGGGTCAATCTGTACTTGTCTAGCTCCCTCTCGATATTCTGGGACAATTTGTGCCTGTCTAGCCTTCTTGGAGGGGGCATGTTAAAAACACACATCGGCTAGATTTGGACCATTTCTCCTCAATATATTATCCATTGAATAATAAGCTAACAACTTCTATTCATTTAATGAAGTTGAAACCTTCCTTGCCTCCTCAATGGCTTTAGGGATCGACATATATTATCATAAGCATAAACATAAGTGAGGAKACCTGAAAAAACCTAAGAGGTCCTTTACTGACCCTGTGTTCAGCGCCTAATGTTGGATCAATTCTCCTCGATATATGTTGGAACCTCTCTTCTCTCCTTAAGGGCTCGTTTGGGGTGTAATCTAATGGGGTTCCACATATTTTCACACTACTGAATCGTCTAATAGAACAAAATCTCCCTCTCGACACTCCGGGCAATTTGTGCTTGTCTAGCCTCCTTGGAGGGGGCGTGTTAGAAACCTATATCGGCTAGACTTGGACCATATCTTCTCAATATATGTTGGAACTTCTCTTCTCTCCTTAAGGGCTCTTTTTGGGAGTAACCTAATGGAGTTCCACATATTTTCACACTACTGAATTGGCTAACCGAACAAATTTAGTGAATTGTCAAATTTTGCATGCTTATCACAAATTGGAGTACTCTTAGAGGCTATTCCGTTGGTTTTCCATTAAGTCCTCTGTGGATAAAGTTGCATGAATGGCTTAATAGATTGGGAAGGTTTTTGTTTGGGAGAGACTTTTCATAGATGGAAGGACTGTGTTTATTAATTGGGGGAGCTTACTGAATAAGGGGCTATTTGGTTGATTTTTTGTTAAGTCCTGTATTGATAAAGTTGTCTATCTGTATAGATTGGGAAGATTTTTGTTTGTGAGGGTTTTTTCATAGATGGAAGGATCGTGCTTATTAATTGGGACAGGTGCGGAAGAAACTTGACTTTCTGCATAACCACCCCCCCAAAAAAAGAAGTTTACTGAATAAGTTCCTTTCTATATCATTAAGCCACTATCAGACATTTGTGTATGGCTGACTGAATAAGCTGTGAGTCCCATTAAGCTCATTAAGCTGCTAACAAACATACATCAAAACAAGAGTTAGATCATGTATTAAAACTAGCATAATTATCTGCAGAAACTGAAGACAACTACAACAAGATTATTGAGCTTCTCAAAGACGAAGATCAAGATGATAAGGAAAAACTTGTTGGATTAATTGAGGAATTTCACAAAAGGTACCAATCGATCTACGAGCGTTACGATCACATCACCGGCAAGCTGAAGGAGAAAGTTCGTTCAAAGAAAGAAAACGACTCTTCTTCCTCATCCAGTTCGGACACCGATTCAGACGATCAGAAAAGTAAAAATGGGAAGCTGGAAAATGAGATTTATACAGAGATCGACGAGTTGAAGAGAAAGGTGGCTGCTGAAACAGAAGAAAAGGAAGCAATAAATGCAGAATGTGAAGCTGCTTTTAAGAAACTACAAGAAACAGAGGAAATGTTTAATGAGTCGAAACTCCAATCCGATAGATTACGAGAAGAAAATTCTAAACTTTTGGCTGACAAAAGAGAGCTCGAAACCGAACTGAGTTTGAAAATAGAAGATATCAACAGAGAGAAAACCAGTTTAATGTCAGAGATCGAGACAGCGATGGCAATCATCGAAGTAGAAAAGAGAAATAACGAAGAATTAAGAGCCGTTGTTGTTCAGTTGAAGGAAGAAAAAGACGGGTTCGAGTCAGAGTTAGAAAACATAAAAGAAGAGTTCTCGAAAACGAAGGAGAAACTGAAAACAACCGAAGAGGAGGTTTCAAATGCGATTCAAATTCTAGAAACTTCTGAAGCAGAAAAGAAATCTTTATCGGAAGAGCTTTCCAGACAAAGGGAAATCCACGATTCATTCAAGAACGAAACGGAAATCAAGATGATTGGTATCGAAGAAGAACTTGAGTTGTTGAAATCCCAGAAAACCGAAATCGAGAAGCGGAAAGAAGACGAAATATTGGCTCTCGAGAAGAAATCCGAGGACAAAGAATCCGAAATCAACCATCTGCAAGTAGAATTGGAATCTACAAGATCCCAGATGGATTCCCTGAAACTAGAACTAGCAAATAAGGCAGCAGATGAACAGAAACTTCTAGAAGAAACAATCGAAGACCTCAAAAGCGATCTCGAAATCAAAGGAGACGAAATCAATTCATTATCAGAAACAGTCCGAAATCTCGAAGTCAAAATCCGGCTCGCGAACCAGAAGCTTCGTGTAACGGAACAGATGTTAAACGAGACCGAACACGATCACGCAAGAAGAGAAGAAAAGCTGCATCAAGAAAACAAAGATCTTACAGACAAAATCTCCACATTGTCTGAAACAATCATTTCCGTCAAGAAAGAGGTTCAAGAAAACGTCCATGAGACGTTATCCATCATCGACTCACTTACCGTAAAATTCGAAGAGGATTACGGGCATGTAACGACTCGGGTTAGCGAAATCAAGAACGAAATTCAAGCCGTAGCGAGTCAGGTGAAGCGAACTCGGTCCGAGAAAGACGAACTGAAACGAAAACTCGAAGAAATGGTTGTGAAACTGAAGATGGGGGAAAGTGAGAATGAAAAACTGATGAAATTACTGGAGAACAAGAATGAGAAGATTGAAGAGATGGAAAACAAGATTCATTTGAAAGATGAAGAGATCATGGAAGTTGTGCAGGATAAAAAGGAGGCCATAAGACAGTTGTGTATTTGGGCCGATTATCAACGTGGTCGTTGCGATCGTCTTCAAGAACTTCTCGGCGGCGGTGGCAGTGGCGGACGGCGGCAAACGGTGAGGTAAGTGAATATATACGTATATATGTGTGGAATTGGAATCGTTACTGTTTGACACGAGAGAGTTCCTGAACTCGTGTCGGAAAGTGATTGTTATGATTTTCGTATGGATCAAGCAGTTACCGTTTGCGATTTCCGCATTGTGGGTTGTGAGTACGAGAATTTCAATTGTTTGGAGTGTCGATTAGTTGTTTGTTTCGTTATATACCGAAAATTGGAGTAGATGAGTGTGTATACGAGATTATGTTCATTTTCACATTTTTTGTGTTGTTTAGTACGAGTTTGTTTATACCATTTCTCGTTAAAATACGACGGAACCGTCCTCAGGTGGGTAGCTCTGTTGGCAGGCATGACGACTTTGTCCAAATACATAACAGATTCAAGTTCGAGTCCCACGGGATGAGGGTTTGAATCTCTCTGCTTGCCTTGGATGTTGAGTCGGCTCACAAAATGGCTCTTCACATTGTGGTGCCGAGGGGGCGGCATCCGTGTTGGGCCGGTTGGGGTTGCTGGTAATTAACCTTTTGCCCAAATACATGTTGGAAATTGGCTCTTTTAGAGAGTAATTTAAATAGGTTCCACATATTTTCACATGGTATCAGAGTGAAAGTCTAAGGAATTGACTATCTTGCCTAATATGTACTTGTCTAGCCCCCTATCAACACTTTGAGACAATATGTACTCGTCTAGCCCCCTATGACACACTGGGGCAATTTATACTCGTTTAGCCCCCTATCGGCCTCGGAGTTTTCTTACTCTCGAGTCTTGACTCAAACTGGAATCCAAAGGTTTGAATGGGGTATAGGCTAAATGCACCTTTATATATTGTTAAATGCGTCCCTACCTCAAACTGAAATCCGAAGGTTTTAGTTGTACGTTTTTACGGATTTAGGTGTCGTTTACCAAACAATTATTGGGGAAGTGCTTAAATGCTAACCAACAATACATTTTGATGGTCGAAAATGTTATCAAATAAAGTATTTGAAGGTGATAATTCTTGCCGATAAATGCTATCCGATAAGTATTCGCTAAATGACCCCTTAGCATGTATACACATTAATTAAATTTTTTGACCTAAATTTAAAAAAAAAATAATGCATTTTTCAAGTTTTTATCATAACAATGTACTTTCATTTCTTTTTATTAGAGTTTAAATTATTTCATATTAAAATATATTGTACTTCCATTTTTTTATGTGAGTTTTAAATTATTTGGTATTAAAGTATTATAGGTTGAAAAACTTACCTAGGGTGTGTTTACTTGAGGCTTAATGAGCTTACTGGATAAATTGGCTTATTCGGACAGACAAAATAGCATGTTTACCTTGGGCTTATTCGCTCAGAAATGGACTTATTCGCCCAGATCAAAAACATTAGTTGTCCAGATTAAGCCATGAAAAAGACTCTCCCTCCCCTTATTCGCCCTACCCTTCGCCCAGATCAAAAATTTCCATCGACGCTCTTTCTTCTCCATCGACAGTTAATCGGACAACGGTCTATTCTTCATCGACAATCGGACGACGCTCTATTCTTCATCGACAGTCGACAGTCGGATGACGCTCTTTCTTCATCGATCGACGCTCTCTTCTCCATCCAAAGAACCCTAATCGGACGACGCTCTATTCTTCATCGACAATCGACAGTCGACGCTGTCTTCTTCTCCATCCAAAGAACCCTAATCGGACGACGCTCTATTCTTCTTCTCCATCGACAGTCGACGATGTCTTCTTCTCCATCGACAGTCGATGCTGTCTTCTTCTCCATCGACAGTCGATGCTGTCTTCTTCTCCATCGACAGCCGATTGCTCTAAAGTTCCATATCGATTTCATGATTGTTCGATTTCTGTTTGCTTGTGTTTGCTTGATTTTTATCGATTTCATGTTTGTTTGATTTTTCTTTGCTTGTCTTTGTTGCTAGAAAGAATCAAAGAAACCCTAGCCGAGCCATGAAAGTTGTTTGTTCTGTTTTATTTTCAGGGGTAAATTKGYCATTTMTGTTATTCAGACTGATGATTCAGATAGAAAAGTAAACATCAACATAAATTTATCCAGACAGACAAATTTATCTAGACAGACAAATTTATCCATACAGGACTTAATAGAAAATTTGGTAAACAGCCCCTTACTATAAGAGCGGGTAATTTTTTTTTTATTAATTTGAATATGCGAGCTGATTAATCTTAAGATGACCATATGTTTTGAGATAGCTTGGAGTCATTGCATTTTAACCTTTTTTATCATAAAAGGATTTAAACCTGGAAACTCCAAATACTTTTAATTTTTGACGTGGAAACTCAAACTAATTGTTGATGTGATATTTTTTTTCTTCTGTAAAGAAATTAAGAAACTTAACTTCTTTACCACGTCACATTGTTACCAATATATTTTTGTTGTTGTCCACTTAAAATAAAATTGTGCATGGTAATCTCATTTTTGGTTCTAATGTTTAAAAAACACAATATTTCAAAAGAAAATTTATATAAGTAGTCAAAGTTGATGGATGGTATCAATTTTGTAGTCATGTTTTAACTCAAACGCAATCTTTAATTAATCCTCATACAGAAGGCTTACGCATACACGTAACGATTGAAGGAATAATTATACATATGTGTAAGGATAAGCAAAACCTTATGCATATGCGTAAAATTCTTTTGTTTTGCCCAAGTTACGCATATGTGTAACTCTTTTACATAAGGATTAGCTAAAAAGTGAATATCAGTCGAAAAATCCCCGAAAAAATGAATATTATTTTTTAATGGGCTATTATCATATTGCATTTCCCCCTAAATTTTTTACCATTTAAAAAAGATATAGTATAATAGGACATGTTCATGAAAAAAACTGTAAAAAAGTGAAACTTAGATACATTATAATAATCAATTATATATCTAAGTATATGCATGTGCATATGTACATAAAAACCAAAAAACATCTTTAATTATTTATATACACATGTACATATCGTATAAATTATTGGTTATTAATGTTTTCCTTAGTTTTATTTTTTTACAATTTCCCCTTCACTCTAATAAAATACATGTTCAATAGTTATATCACATCCTACCAAAACAATGATGCATCATGTCAAAAACCACTCAAGAAAATAACATCAACCAAAACTATCCATCGAAAACACCAACGAATAACCACCATAAAACTCTCTATTATATCTGTTAATAATAAGAATACTGATCAAATAATAATTTCACTTCTCGGTTGAGAAACCAAGAGCCTCGACTCTCCGAGCCTATCCTTATTATGTGATGTTGGTACACAAACAACTTAAAACCCGAACTATAGCGTGCTCTAGGTGTGTATAGGATACGCGTCGACTATATCAACATGGCCTAGTTCTATAAATCTCTTCGTTTATCATAAAGCAACGATAAATGGAAGAGATACGAGAACAAAAATTTTAACCCCCCCCCCCCTCCTTTTGCACGCAAACTAATAATACCAACGTTCAATAAAATACGATGCTTTGTTTAATCGGATATCCTCATTTCTACCTTCAGTACGTCTTTAACGACCTCGTACGTCACAAACGCAATCGCTATCGATGGAACCACCTAAAACGACAACACAAACTTGCATGAGTTACGATGTCCGATAAAAATTTGCAACAATTTCTATCAAGTTCAAAATCACTTATTTGCCCATGTTGTACTTGCTTCTATTTATTAATATATTTGCATATATGCATTTTTCCCCCTTTCACACACGTTTCACAAGCAGAGGGTTTTCATAGAAACAGACACTCTACTTAGACATTGGGCAACCTGGTTCACCTTCCCGTTCAGGACCGGAGATTCCCCGTAAAACAGTACCAGGTTCGGGGATCCCTGACATGTCGAAAACCGGGCCGGGTAATTATTCCCGAACCGCCCGTCCCCATATGTATATATATATTGATTGAAGTTATATATTTTTTAATATATATTACATGTTATAATTAAAAACTTCAAACATATTTTGTTGAATCGTGATGGCTGGAGATAAACCTGGGTGGAGGTGGGATAGGCCCGACAAAAAACAAAGAGGAGATTCGATTTCCCATACCCGTTGGGAACGAGGATGAGATAGTGGAACTAGGGTCGAGGATTGCATTCCCGCCCCATCCCTGACCCGTTGCCATGCTTAGCTCTATTCGTTAGAGCAAAGGTTAGATTTGCATACATCTTAACCCTCCGAGACCTCGCCACCACGAGGGAGGTTCGTATGGTTTGGTTTGGTTTGGTTTATCATCAAAAGAATTTGAAGATATTGATTTGGTTCCTTTAGATAATGGTATGTTTGGTACGCAGGACAACAGAGAAACTTGTCCCACATTTGGCACGACATTACACTTAGACAAGACATTTAAGTGGCACAAAAATGCATTTTCTTAATCCCACCAAAAGAGGTGGAATAAAAACAAGGAAGATGAGACAAGAGTGATAAATTACTAAACTACCCATGTTAAATTAAAACCTAAAACCATCCAGAATTCTTACACCCGTCTACCTTACTGACATGTTAAGTTGTATGTATCTAAAACTAAATTGTGATCAAATCATCTCCTTAAATCCAACTACATTTAATCCAAGTGCCAAGTGTAATCAAATATCGACTATACATAGGGAAACGTTTAAATGTGAACTATAAATATTTTGAAAACCTCAAAACCAACTATTTCATGTATTATTCACGATGAATAACCAATTAACCCCAAATATATTCATGATGTATTTTCATTTTCTATAATTTCATATGAATAGCTGGTTCCCAAGTGGTCAAAATATTTACGGATCTCATTTGAACATAAACATGGCTATAATTACGTTAGGGAATATAGAGTTGATCTATTAAAACGTTAAATTAACTTAAATACTGACCTTCACCGAGTTAGGGACCAAACCCTTGTACAAAGCGCCAACGCCCTCATAGCGAACAGTTTTCCTGAATGCATCAATCATTCCCGTGTATTCAACTGTCGACTTGCCGCCCCCGGTAACAATTGAAGCTGCATCTTTCCACCCAACCATTTGCATTCTTCTGCGTATCACATCAAGCGGATAAGCAACCGTTTGGCCAATGGTTCCGGCCGCAGCTCCACATGCAAGTTTTGTTGTCACACTCAACTCAGTGTCCTCGACTAATCCAAATGGCCGTGATTTCACCAACCAATCTTTTAAAGATTCATATACCGCAAAATTTAACCCCACATATGGTACCTATAAACAACATGAATATAATAAACTTTTAGATCTCTTCACAAAATCCTTAATGATTTAGTGAAATGCTACTGCAAACACGTAATGATTCGAATAGCTGCTGCAAAACCAATATATTTCAATAACCGACAACATATCAATAGACGGAATTAAATATTCATACAGTGTAGAATGTTCTATTTAGTTTGTCCAAAAATAAGTGTCTGACTTTCAAAAGTAAGTGCATACTCTCTAATTCTACCTTTAATTATGACGTGGATAAATTTATAACTCCATCTATTATTAAGGGAAAATTTGCGATTTAGTTTAGTAAAAAGTGTAATATTCACACATTTCTAAAACCGTGTCTTTTTCATTTAGGGGGGACGAAGGGACTATTCACTGTCACATTAAAACCATTCATGAAGGTCAATGCATGGTTAAGGAAAGCAAACCACATTGAAAGCTTTTACATGAACATACACCTATATAGTAATTTGTAGTGTATATATATGCATAATTGCATATATATATATATAGAGAGAGAGAGAGAGAGAGTGTGTGTGTGTGTTAGGATCATGCGAGAAATTTTCATTTTCGTAAGAAGATGAGTAAAGGTGAAAGTACTTTATATTATGTGAATATTAAGTTATGTGTGATGGTTGTAACCTTCACGTAATATAAGGGTATCTTCACATGTCTAAAGACAAACTTTCACACGATATAAATGTACCTTCACCTTTTCCCCACCTTCTCACGAAAAAGGGTTGTTCTCACCGAAACCCAACCCTATGTATAGAGGCCGGTTCAAACAAGAAGATTATATATCTTGAGAAGGTAAGAAGAAAAGGTTTAGGGAAGGTTCATATGTGAATCACTGAAAAGATCTATTTGAAAATGCATATGTGAACCCATATGAATAATTTGTACGTCATTTCACATATGCATCTTTAAATAGATTTTTCCTGGATTTTTTCAATGATCCATATATGAACCTTCCCTCCTTCTTTTTCTCATATATTTAGCCTTCTTATTTGAACCTCCACCTATATACATAGAGGGAAGTTCAAGGGAAAACCCCCCAAAAAATGAAAAACTGAGGAACACCTTGATAACTGAAGGTGTTTCTTAGTTTCTATGCACATGTGCATACCATACAAATTGCTTAAAAATTACTTATATGCACATGTGCATACCGTCTACATTGAAACCTGACCCTGACCCTATATATGTATATATATTAACACTTGAATCCTACATATATAGCATGTACAATTCAGCTGAACCACATCTTCATAGTTACTATTAAGAGATATCCGACTTCTAACTTACCACACCAATCACAGAAGGAAGCCATCCTTTGTATAATGCTCGTGGACCTTCTTCTCGGAGCACCGTTCTAAGAGCGTGAGCAATTCCTCTATACTGGCTAGGAGATTTATCAGTCTGCAAACATCAAAAGATCAGCAATAAGCGAAGAACCAATTCTGTAATGCATAAAAAAGAACTTGTAACTTCAGTTTACAGGAATACAGCACTTGAAGATTATAAATAATACCTGAACAGTAAGCCGCCCTCGAACCAAGTCCATTGGATAGGTAGCTGACATGGCAATTATTCCAGCACAAGCACCAGCTCCAAGGCGTAGGAGAGGGGTGAGTTCAGCATCCTCTGAAACAAAAAATAAAAAAAAAATTATTGCTACAATCATCACAAGCCACTGTTCTTATTAAGGGATTTTCATCGGTTGAAATCAAATGGATTTATGTCAATCCGATCCGATCATCCATTGGATGTTAGATTTTGTCATCCGATCTAATCCAATCCAATCATTGGACAACCGATCCAGTCAATGGATGATTGGATTGTATTGGTTCCATCCATTGGATATTATTATTGGTTATCCATTGAATCAGATTGGATTCATCCAATATTTTGCTCCAATTTGCAACCAATTAATCCACCATTTCAAACAAATTTTCATATATTTTCCTAATTTCTTAAAAAAACTATAAAAGGATGAACTAAAAACAATATCGTAAAATATTATTAATTATATATATTTATTAATTGTATGGTAATTGGATTGGATAGGATTGGTTTTATTGGATTCTAGAATGCCATCCAAGAATCAAGCGATCCAATTTGGATGTTGGAATTTTGGATCCGGTCAAATCCAATCATAATTGGATATCCAATCACGGTCAGTTAGTTCTAATTAGATCGGTCGGTTGTAATTGGATTGGATGACTTTCTGCACACCCCTAGTTTTTATATGAAATGTGTACACATTGGTTAGCAATCTACTAGTTGTGCTACTAGTTTTATGTGTGAATGAATAGGTTGTTGACTTAGTAATGAAATAGGAAGTATGTATTGTCATACCATTTCCAGGTTGCTGCCGATAGAGCCACAGGATTCCTCTGTTTACGTAAAAGAAGCATGTTAAAGAACATATTTCAATAATTCCTCCGTACCAAAATAAAGGTCCATGATGAAAAAGGCACAAAGTTTTAAAAATGAGTAATTATCACACTTTTTAATTAACTAAATGACAATTTTACCCTTGATAATAGACGCGGTAAATAATTTCTCCATCTCATAATGAAGGGTAGAATTGGAAAGTAGGCATTACTTTCGAAGTCGACACTTATTTTAGGATAAACTAAAATAGAAATATGAACGCCTATTTTAGGACAGGAGTATATCTATGCTAAAAAGGTAACTCCAGCTACCAGATGTTATATCAATATGTGGAGAAATTAGAACATAAAATAACAAGCTTCGATCAGCAATAGAGTGTATATACTGGTATGGCTGTTATTCAACTGATGATAACTCTCGTCTTCACTAGCTGCTTATCATATACGACCTAAGGACCCCTTTGGATTTCTTGGGATTTGGAATTGGATAACATTCTAATCACTCGTTTGGTTTAAAGGAAAGTCCAGAATTGAAATCCCACACGCAAGAGATTTAGAAATCCCATGGGGGTAGTTGGTATTTCACCGGATTTCATAGAATTGTTTGTAATAATGTTTTATAATCAGGTAATAAAAGGTAACTTAATTGTTTTTATAATTATTTATAATTTGTTTTTATAAATTACTTTTAAGGAATCCAATTCCATCCCAATCCTACAAACCAAACACATCAAAGATTCCAAACTTTTCCACGAACTAAATCCCTCAAAAACATTCCGTCAAACACGCCTCCTAAGTAGCTTTCAAGAGTAATCAACTTTGACATGCAGGAGACGTTTTTGAACATGAAGAAAAGCAGGTAAGCTTACTTGGATGCCTCCTCATAGCTAAAGAACTTGACAGCAGAGTTTGGAACAATGCGAGCACAGTTGGTACCATTGCCTTTAAACATTCCTCGCAAACCCTCTGTTCTCCATATATATTTGAGTCCCTGGATAGTTCCATTGTATTTGATTGCATGTGGATTTTGAACCTGTAATTTAACATAATCAGTTGCGTTTAATATTCTCATATCTACTCAAAAAGGATATTTATTTTTTTACATGAATCCAATATTACAAATGGATGGTTATTACTTATTAGCCACCCAACCAGACCAAATAAGCAATATAACTTCTCCAAAAACTAGGGTATAAACTTCTGACAGCCAATAGGAAAAAGAATCGGTAGAACAAGACACCCTGATTTTAAACCAAATTAACACAATATGACTAAATAGCTCAGCTTGTTAGTCAAAACTACTAAAAGTAATCAAAGCTATAATCATCCAATTTCTCCTAAAAGGATTAATGGCATACAAAACTTGCTCAATCAATTGCATAAAGATATAAGTTTTGTTCTGCCGACAAGATAGAGAGCATTCCAATAAAAAACATAAATACAAATACAAATAAACTTTTTTATTTAGTTTTCTTTAATATCAGTCTTCATTTATAATATTCTCGAATTCTAATTGTGTAATGCCTTATTTATAGGGAAATCCAAGGTAGCTATTGAAGCAGTACCAGAAAATATAAGTGCATGTTAGATATAACATCAGAGACGGGAGAGGTAGTTTGAGGTGGGGGACTGTTTATACACCTACCAGGATTACAATGCATATCTCTTATGATTAGGTATTATGCTCATTGAAAGAACCCTATAACATTGAAGTTTCAAGTATTATCTGAATTCAAAAAATTCAATGGAAATGCATGTGCTCATCTTCTGTCTCTGGTAGGGGAGGGTACATAAATTACATAAAACGTATCATACACTTTGGAATTTGAACCTTTACGCTGAGAATCTGTTTGCTTGAAGCCCATATACAACTAGCTTATCTACCTCGACCATATCCACCACTGGACAAAAGCACACAACCAAAAACGAACATTTACTACCCCTTACATTATACTCATCAGTAGATAGCACTCTTCCAACGGATAGACTTTTTAATATGGCTCTACAGGGAGTTTATTTTTCACTTTTCATCCTTAATCTTTTTACTGCATCTTCTCTTCTTTAGTTTTTTTAGGGATGTTGAGTTAAGTTTACTCTGCCCTAACTTTGACAATTATATATAGCAATTAGTAAGACAAAGGCAATTGAATGAAAATGCCAGAAAGACAAAAACAATTGGATGAAAATGCAAAAAGGTTGCATAGAACAGTTTCCACATGTAATTATGATCCTGAATCATACTTTACTTGAAGAAAGCCATTATCAGGTTGATTTCAATATAAAAAAGGTGATTTATGAATTCACTTTATCGAACATAAAGCAATTGGACACAAAAAAAAAAGAAATTAGCTAAAGAATCTACCTGGAGAAGAATTTTCATGCGTTCTAGAGGAGCAACAGCAGTACGTGATCTGCAACATAGAGTAGCCAAATAAACAGTAGGTAAAAACCTACCAGGCAGAACCTAATATCATAGACAGTTAACTGAATCCAAAACAAGGGTGGTGCTATATGCACACCTATTTATGTCAAATTCAGATCAAATCATACATTGAACATGTAACAGATTAGTTTGGATGTTGATGTGTGCAAGGAGAAAATTAGTAGGTAGGAGCCTACCACTAATAGCAGTATGTAAAAGTCAAATCACACATAATAGACTCTAAAGACTATAAGAAAGTTATTCTGAAACCAACCCAAAAGATCCCTTTTGTCCTCGCATATATATTCTTTAAAGGACAAGACTCTCTCCCAAAAATTCATACCGTCCATAATTATTGTCATCTGCATTAGTGGTGCTCTTCCTTTTGGTGCAACACTTCTTTTGATATCTCTATCATGGATCTTCTTGCTAAGCATTTCCTTTTTGAAAGTATTTAAATAATAATAGTTTTACCAAATTTCCCTCCTGTTTACAGCACCCTTTTACCATCCCCCCCCCCCACCCAAATGCATGTGTTTTTCGATAAAGTTTACATCCTAGTTGTCCGTGTTATAACTCCATCTCTACAACATTCATTTTCTCACTACTCTTTTTCATAGTTCAAGATATTCTAAAGCATAAAGTTGAAGTAGTTCTAATAGTTATCCTAAGGAATAATACTTTTTGAGACTACAAAGCAACCACTTATGCCAAAAGCATAATAACCACATTCTTAGATTTGTTGCCCCAGATTGGACAACTGTCCACTGAGAATATTTGCAAGGACGAGAATCGCATACCGAATTTCTTCACAAACTAAAAAGAAAAAAGAACACCGCATCTCAATGTTAAATCATGATACCAGCTACAATATGAATCATTAACATTATATATATATATATATATATATATATATATATAAATTAAACAATTTAAACCAGCCATTTAATCCCTTAATTTGATCATTTATCTTTTATGTTTTCAACATCAGGCCTGTTAAAAGCTTGACAATCAGTCATTGAAATCACCATGACACCATGTTTCAGTTTTTCAGTTGTAAGCATTCCAGGTAAGAATCAACTAAACAGAATTAGATGAAGGAATTCAGCATTCATAAATATAACCAGAAAACAAGTGAAATCACAAATCTGTGTACACAGTCGTGTATAATCCATTCAAATAAAACTTAATCAAAAATTTTAAACAGAATGTGTCCGCAATCCGAAGCCAAACAAAAACAAATTCAGTAAAATGATAACAATAACCGATAAATAACGAAACAGGGAGAACGAAAGCACTAACACTCCACCGGCAACGCCACCGGCGACGAGAGATTTGCAGATGCCAAGTAAAGTTTGACGACTCGGAGCCTTCACACCTTCACTCGCAATCTTTGCTTCTTCAGCGATATTAGCGATCGTAGCGCTCGTCTTCCCGACTACGTCCTCCGACGCCATGTCAACAGCGTAGTTCTAAACACGATAGAATGAAATGAAATGAAATTCACCGGAACCCTAGCCAAATTCAGGTAGATTCGCCGTCGTTACTATCCTCCGGCGATCTCAATTCTGAGGAATTAACGAGAATGATGAGATTAAAGGAAAGGATCAGACATATAGGAAGACTGCACGTGTTGGTGAGGGCGATTTTTATATTAATGGGGGCGCTGCAAGCTTTGGACTAGAAATGGTGCCAATTGGCCATATAAAATCATGTCGCAGAAACTAGGGTTTTTTTTTTGCATGGTATTAAAATATCCAAAAAAAAATTAGTGTTTGAAATGATTAAGTATTTGGATAATTTTTTGGAATAAATAAGTTATTTGATATTTTAAAATATATTAAATAATTTTTTGAACTTTTTAAAACATGTTAGATATATTCTTATGACCTGTACAATTTGTTAATGTGGTAAAATAATGGAAAAAATCTGGAAAAAAACCAATAGACTTTCATATTTTGAACGGTTAAATTTCTAAACATTTTTTTTAACAAAAAAAGTACTTATAATATAAAATAAAACAAATATACGAAAAATGTACTTACATTTATGAAAGAATACTTACAGTTAAAAAAATTATTGATGAAATTTATTTTAATTGAAAATAAAAAATATTTACCCGATAAACACTTACCATGGTAAGAGTCGTCGCCCTCACTTACCGGGTAAGACTCTTGGTTCTTGTCTTGCTCTTACCGGGTGAGATTCTTGATCATTATCATATTCATCTGGTAAGGTGATGTGACTTGATGTTCACTTACCTGAGTAAGCGTTTGGTAAACGACCCCTTAGTATTATCTATGAGATCTCACGGGTCTCGGAAAAATAACACTGTGTTACGTTATCCCAAGTCTAGCTGATTAATCAAAATCAGATAATTAGAGTATGATCGTACAAAAAAACGACTGGTTATTTATTCGAATGTCAATTTATGCATATATTGACAACGACGGATCTAGAATTTGTGTCGAGTGGGTAGAGGCGGACCTATGAACTTTTTCAAATGGTGACACCATTTTGAATATTAGAACTGAAGTTGCGGATATTTTTCATGAAATCAGCATTCAACTGCTGGTTAGTTTCTTACTTTCTGTATGTGAGGTTATGTTTTGAATATTTTATCGTTGTTTTTTCAAAAAACATAATAAGCCTAAATTAACAGCTAAAAAACAAGAAAATGATTGAAACGAGATCTGAGCTCGTGCTTGGAATGGGAGAAAACTCGTTTAAACCAACTCCATCGAGACAAATTTGTGTTATTAGTGTAGTTCCAAAAGTGTATATGGTGACACCTTTCACGACCCTATTTTTTTTTACGTTAGGATGTTCGGTCAGCAACCTTGAAGAACAGTCGGGAACGAATGGTACAATTTCATACATGAATGATTGGTTCTAAATACCATTGCGTAACGGCAATGTCAATCTCAAGACTTAGGAACTCAGTGAATCCAAGCTCTTTTCAACACGTGACTTTAAGGAAACAAAACTACAGATGTATACTAACATATGCACACACACACATATATATATATATATATATATATTTAAAATTTGTTATATATATATATATATATATATAAGATATATAGGAAGGTGCAAATGAGAACATTGTTGAAATAAAAGAACATAAGAATGCATGTGTCACATATGATTCAGGTTTTGTCAACGCATGGGGGCGGACGTTTAGCCTGACCACCTAAGAACGTTGACTGACCCTGAATCACGTTACACAAGTGTTCTTATGTTCTCTGATTTTGACATTATTCTCGTTTGAACCCGACCCTGAAATATTTTTGAAGTGCATAATATTTGTATACAACAACTGAATTCACGCACGATTCTCACATTTGGTGAAGTTTGATCCCTTGACCTCTTAAAAGGCAGGATTCTGCCGTTAATCCAGATATTGTTAGGGCAAGGGCCATTTAATTTGATATTGTTATAAATATAGATGACGATTTAAATCATAATGATAATAAGTATTATATCAATAGTATACAGTGAGAGAAAACGAAAGAACGAAAGAAGAAGGCGTACTTTTAAGCGTAACTATAAAGTCAAATTACGTCTTAAAACAACTCGTGTCTTACATCAACTCAATGAGGGGTGCAGAAAAAACCCGACCGACCCTGAAGAAGAAGTACTTTTTAAGCATAATTGTGAAGTCAAATTACGTCTTAAAACAACTCATGTCTTACATCAAACAGGGAGGGTGCAAAAAAAAACCCGAGCAATCCTAAAGAAAGAAGTATTTTTTAAGCATGATTATAAAGTCAATTTACGTCTTAAAACAACTCGTGTCTTACATCAACTCAAGGAGGTGTGGAAAAAAAATCCGACCAACCTGCCATCCAATCTGATATCTAATCGAGTTATAAAATTTTCAAACTGAAGATATTGGATTAAGGATTAAAAGTTTAAAACCCAACCCAACTTGATAAACCCGGTACCCTTCTATAAATATATTCAAGGTTAGAAGAATATTTTAATGTACCAAAGTATCAACAACCAACATGTACAGTTTGGGTTGGGTTGGGTTGCACTTTGGTTTGAGTTGAGATTTTTCAAACTGTAAGTATTGAATTTAGTTGTTCAAATGTCTTCAACCCGATCAACCAAACCCATGAGCACTCCTAATTTATACTTTTTTTCTTTAATTTAACATACCAGTTAACATAACTGTTATAGAAAAAAAATTAAAAAATTTAATTTAATTTAATATAGAGAATTTTTTTAATGTTTTTTTAAGTCTTGAAAATATACTTTTAAATATTTTATTATAGAAAATAATTCCAAATTATTTAAACACAATAATGTCGACATTTAATGAAACATGACACCTTTTGGAAAAGTAATATCGATGTTGGTTGAGATGTGCAAGGGATGTAGTATTAAATGCAAAAAAAATTTAAGAGTAAATTGTACGAAAAAGTAGTATATATTTTAACTTGATTCCTATTTTAGGTAATGTATTTTTAGAATTTTTATTTTGATACATAATATGTAAAGTTTTAAACATTTAAGCATTCGGGTAACCGGTTGAAGCATTAACTGATTACCATGTTGATGTGGTATTCGGTTAATGTTTCAACAAATAATATTGAGTTGGATACCACATCACTCACAACATCAACATGGTAACCGGTTAATGTTTCAACCGGTTACCCGAGTACTTAAATGTTTAAAACTTTACATCTTAGTTATCAAAATGAAAGTTTTTAAAGTACGTTATCCAAAATATGAATCAAGTTAAAATATGTTACTCTTTCATGCAATTTGCCTAAAGTATATAGATACCTGAAGTATCGTATGAAAAAAGAGAGTTGATGTGATAAACGTAATAAGGGGTATGTATCTCTGATCACCTTTAATATCAAACTCACCTATGAATCGAACTTGATAAGGGGATTGATCTGATGCATTTCATCTCGGTGATCTCATTCTAATAAAAAAAAATCTTAATCGTATTTAAAATATTTTTACAGTATTTTTACAATATGTTCACTTTATATACATATTCAATTATGTGTATGTTACAGAGAAAGTAGAAAAAAATAGATACAATATGAACGAGAATAAAGCAGAGACGAAAAAAAATGAACAAGAGAGGAGAGAGAGAATGAGAGATTTTAATATACTTAGAGGCCGTTTACCTAAACACTTATCCGATAAATATTTAACGGTAAAATTCAACTATATCGCTTACTTACCGGGTAAGATTTTAGTCTACGAAGATAAAAAAAAGCCGAACATTCACAGTAGAAACACTATGAAAGTTATCTTCACAGCGTTTTGCTGTAAAGTTTCAAGTGTAAAAAAAATGGTCTCACGAAAACATGCTGGTCTCACGTGAACTCAACCCTTTATGTATAAATACATATAACTATATATGATTGTAGCTTTTGAATTTATTATTGATTTACAGTAAATTGTTACATCGATTGTGTCTCTTAATTGAAATTTTAGTTAAGATCTGTATAAAACAGTATGTCTTATTCTGAATGAACAATAAACTGATATTTCGAATCAAAATGTTATCGTTTTGGTGTATCACTTAAACCCTGTTGTATCATATTAATATAAAAAAAATTCAAAATTAAATATTTTTATGTAATTAATATTTAATCAATAAATTAAAATATCCTTTATAGTTTCGGATTAAAAAATGAAACAAATAAGTAATAAATTTATTATATATAAAATCAGGAAATTCAATTTTAAAAACATTAAAAAATTATTATAAATTCGTTACCATCAAGATACAATTTATTATTATGTAAATAAGGTATAGTTTATATCGAGGCGGATAGCTTCACGTTGACGTTTACAAACTATATTTTTTTTTAATTTAAAATTAGTTTTCAATCGGTTATTTAAATATTTAAATGTTTAAAACTTTACATCTTAGATATCAAAGTAGAAGTTTTAAAAGTACGTTATCCAAAGTAAAAATTTATGCTATATAATAAAGCATTTGACAAAAACTCTTAAAAATAATTTTTTATGTACGAAGTATTGTTTATTGATGCATATTACTTAAAATTTAAGATTACAATGCGTAAATACAACTTATTAAAGCTACATTTTTAAATTCGTATGACTAACTACATATCAAAACATCTCATTTTAAATATGAAAAATCTAAAATATAATTAAGATAATTATTGAGTTATAATAGAATCGTATCTTTATGAAAATTATATTGTTAAACCAAAAATAAATTACTTCGCTATTAGACCTGATTTGAATTATAATAAAAGAAATTGAATTAAATAAATTGTAAAAAAATCGAGAAACTTTCAAATAGTTAATTTGATCTTAATATCGATATATTTTTTGAAAATTTTATGATATTTTCAAATTTATTTTTGTTCAAAAGTAAAAATATTATATTTTTTAAAACCACATAAACCGTATTATATCAACAAAGATAAAAAACAAAACAAAATATTAAAATGAAGATATATTTCGCTGCATTACACGATGACCCTTCTAGTTAAGTTAAAGTATCTTACTTTTTCATGTAATTTACTCTTTGAAATAACTTATGTTTTTCTATAAAAGTGGTTATCAACTTATTATAAGTGAAAATGATTTAACTTCTTCAAAAACTTCTTATTACCGGTTTTTCACCGGTATAAGTTGTTTATCCAAACACTCAAAAGTGCTTATTATCGATACCACACCAAAATAAGTCAAAACATTATTTTTATAAGCAATCCCAAAATCCCAAATAATATTGTATGCATATGGTGACTATTTATAATATTCAAGTCAACATCCATGATAGTTTGTTCATTGCCGTTGATCATCGTTCTTCATGACAGAATCCCATCTTCCGCCGGAAAACAAAGACACCTCGCCGGTAGACGCCGGAGCGGCGTTCGTTCTCGAATCCAAAGGTGACGACGATTCTACCCTCACAATTCAAGTTATTTTCTATTAATTTTAATTCAATGTACATCTTCTGTAATAAAATTTCAACTTAAACTCGGTTGCTGTAAAAATCATACAGGAAAATGGTGGCACGCCGGATTTCATCTGACGACGGCGATAGTTGGGCCGACGATACTAACGCTGCCGTACGTGTTTAGGGGTTTAGGATGGTGGTTTGGATTCTTTTGCTTGACGGCCATGGCGGTCGTCACTTTTTACTCTTACTATCTCATGTCTCTTGTTCTTGAGCACTGTGAAAACGCCGGCCGCCGTCACATCCGATTCCGGGAACTCGCCGCCGATGTGTTGGGTAAATTTCAGGTTCTATTCCATTCTCCATTTATTAATTGGTTTCTATGCTCACAGGTCCCACTAATCTACGAACTGAGCAGTCAGATCTATAAATGAGGTGCGAAATTTACAAAGAGGGGGCTAGAACTTATTAATAGTTTTATGAAAAGCTAGATCTGAATTTTGTTTGGTAAAAAAAAGTCTGTCTTTTAATTGTTTTAAAACCCTCTAAATGATTTTGTATCATGAACCTCTCTTGACCGTTAAGCGGTCTAATTTCATTGTAAACAATTATCAAACAATTATATTTTATTTTACCCAATATCATGAGAGTCTCTTAATTATTCTGACCACTTAATAATTCTACATCAAACCATTCAGCAAATGTCAAACAACTCTTGTGTTCTAATAAGCTTTTGGAATTTATGAGTTAATTTAACCGACAATAAGATTTGAGTTTTTTTTTGGAGATTCTTCGAATTGGATGTACATTTTTTACAGATTTTGACTTTTGATATTATATTTTAAAAAAGTATAGCATATTCGTTGGAGACACTTTTATTGAGTGAGCATGTAAGAACCAATAATTTATACTCGGTAAGAGACATGATAAGGATCGACAATCTTATCTGGTAAGTGTAGGTGATGACCTCTTTATCTGGTTAGTGCTTACTGACTCGCTCGATGTCGGAGGACCCAAGAGTTTTGTCAGCCAAATGCACCTTAAAGTGGATCCAAGGCACGTAAAGTCGTTCGATGTGTCTTTAGCCGAATTCCACCTCTTCCAGAGATATTTTAAGTTTTTTGATTGATTTAAAAGAATTTTTTCAGTTTTTTAAGTATTTTGGTTGATTTTGAGAGACTTTTTTCGGTTTTTTGTTTGATGCCCCTTATATTTTCTTATATCTTAAAGCACCCCTCAAAGTTTAACGTATACAAATTTCATAACTAAAAAAATCTATTTATGAAAATCGGTTGAGCAGGTGTACGGGAACCCGTTGGGGTTTCCATAGGTCCCCCCTTGCTTACCGGGTAAATTTACTGTCTACTGTGTCATTTTGATTGCAGAAAATCGACCCGATAAAATAACTGAGAGTGATACTCTTACTTGTAAACGTTTGGTAAATCACCGGTTTTTCTTAATTTTATGATTTTGTGCAGAAATTCGTATAATCCTAAATAACTACTGAACAAGAAAATGCGTATTTAATTATTAAGAAATGTAGATAACTACGGAGGTAGTACGTTGATTGCGTGTATGTTGTTTCTTGTAGGGTCGGGTTGGATGTACTATTTCGTAATTTTCATTCAAACAACGATCAACACCGGCATAAGCATCGGCACGATCTTGCTTTCGGGGGAATGCCTTCAGGTATACCCTAATTTTTCGAATGTTAAAGGCCATTTATGTCATTCTATGTATATATTGTGGCTATCTTATCTCGACTATACCTAGAGATACACAATGCATGAGCCTTCCAATCTCGTTTCAGTAAGAAATAAAAAAAGCCTCGGCTTTTCGGGCCCGGATAGGGTCGGACCGGGCTTTGGGTGTAAAAATAGGTTCGACCAGTGTTTTTCGAGCTTTTGAAAAGAAACATGGCCCGATCGGGCTTCTAGGCATGGATTGGCCTGGGTATTTCGGGCTTTTTGTGCATATGTGGTTGTAGCAATATATTGTTGGGGGCGGGGGGCGAAGCCATGGTTTATATTTGGGGTGGCCTAGAGGTGCGACGATATGTCGAATTTAGACTGGGAGAGGGCGAGTTAGACTAGACTACATATCGGGACATTTTTAAGACGTTTAAATTTAATTTCTTTTCTTATATTTCGTAGATAATGTATTCGAGTCTTTCTACGAGTGGATCGATGAAACTATGGGAGTTCATCGCAATTGTAACGGGGATCATGATCGTCTTGTCTCAGTTTCCGACGTTTCACTCCCTCCGACACATGAACCTCGGCTCGCTTTTCCTAAGCCTTGGATACACATTTGTGGTTGTTGCCGCTTGCATTTACGTAGGTCTCGGAAAGAACACACCCACGAGAGATTACTCGTTAGAGGGTTCACAATTCTCAAAAACTATGAACGCCTTCACATCGATTTCCATAATCGCGGCCATATTCGGGAACGGAATTCTCCCCGAGATACAAGCTACTTTGGCGCCCCCAGTAACCGGAAAAATGTTCAAGGGGCTTGTGATGTGTTATTCCGTAATTTTCTTGACGTTTTACTCGGTTGCGGTTTCGGGTTATTTCGTGTTCGGTAACAAGGCTAGCTCGAACATTCTTACGAGCCTCATGCCCGATGACGGACCGTCCTTGGCTCCGACTTGGCTTCTAGGACTCGGAGTTGTTTTCGTTCTCCTCCAACTCTTCGCCATTGGCTTGGTACGATCCTTTTTTTAAGTATATACCGCCTCCGTCCCGAGATAAAAATATATTTTAGTTTGTCTCAAAATAAATTTCTTCTTTCCAGTTATAACCTTAATTATGAGGCGGATAAATTCATTACTCCATCTATCATGAAGGGTAAATTTGTCATTTAGTTGATTAAAATGTGTAACAATTACATACTTTTAAAAATGTGCCTTTTTCATTCTGGCCATTTATTTTGGTACGGAAGTCGTTGATTAAACCTGAAGGGTGAGATCGTATTGTAACCCGAGTACTGTCGGGCCGATCTTTCTAAGTGGACGTAGAAATTAAGCTAATCGCTTTGTATTTTTTCGTAGGTTTACTCTCAAGTAGCGTTCGATATTATGGAAACGAAATCCGCCGACGTGAATCAAGGGATGTTCTCAAAACGAAACGTGATCCCGCGAATAGTTTCCCGATCACTTTACATGATCTTTTGCGGGTTTTTTGCGGCAATGCTTCCATTCTTCGGAGACATTAGTGGCGTGGTTGGAGCACTCGGTTTCATCCCGCTCGATTTCATCCTTCCGATGCTTCTTTACAACATGACTTACAAACCGTCAAGATCTTCCTTCACGTATTGGATCAACAACGGGATCATGGTCGTTTTTACGGGTGTCGGGATTTTGGGTTCGTTTTCTACCGTTCGAAAACTCGTTCTCGATGCCAATAAGTTCAAGCTTTTTAGTAATGATGTTGTTGATTAATTTGATTTCAAGAAAGACGATCTTGGTGTTCATATGAGGTGATAGAAACAATTGATTTGACCAAAAACTGGAGTCAAAACAATCTTTTGGAACTCAATTATCACATAACCTCAACTTGGGATCACATGAGACCAACCTGTTTTTATGAGATCCGTTGAGACTATTTTTTTACACTTGAAACTTCATAGCAAAACGTTGTTTGGATTAGCTTATAGCGGTACCAAAAAACAATAAGCTGATAAGTTGTTTTTTAGTGTTTGACAAATTTTGCTTATATATATAAAATGACCAAAAAAAACAATCTTCAATATTATTGACTTATGGAAGTGTTTGAGATTGCTTATTAACTTATTTGATTTTTTAATACGTAAAAAATTATTTTTCATCAATTTATAATAATATCAATGACAAAAATTTATATCAATAAGATTAATAAAACATGATTAAAATGGTAAACTGGTAATAAGCAGTTTTTCATAAGTCAAAAAGAATTAACTTATCAAAAATTGCTTATTATCGGTTTGACACCGATATAAATAGTTTTATTTTTTCTCATCAAACACTAACATTTAGCTTATTACTGATATCAGATTAAAATAAATAAAAAAATACCTAAAATAACCAATCCCAAAAACCCAAAGCTGGCTTAATAAGTTACGAGTTCCGTACTTCCGTTAACCTTTTTAAGCGGCCCCATTTTTTTGACGGAGTAAACAAAACCGTCTCCTTCTCCGGCGCCATCCACCGCCTCTCAACGGGGACCACCTCCGTCAACATCTCCCCCTCTCCAAACTAAACGCTTATCTCCCTGTAATAAGTTCAAGAAGAACCACTCTGTAGCTGTAATCATCGTTATTTTTTTGAAACTAATCCGTTTTCATCGCCTTTTTCATATATTGCAGGTATGCATACAATCCACAGTTTCTCCATTTATAATTGAGTTCTACACTTATAGCTGAAGCCATTAATGCATTCATTCTTGACCTCTAAGCTTTTCTCTCAGCTTTCTATCTGTTGTTTCAATTCAAATGAGTTTGAGTTCTAGGTTTGCCTTATTGCCTATTACCTGTTCGACGTATTGCTTCTTCAATTGGCTACGTTTTCATCTGGTTTATTCACTTTTCCTTATAACTTGAACTCGTACCTCTTGCAGGCTCTATAAGTTTATGTTTTATGGTTGATTGAAGAACAAGATGAAACCCCACCTCCCAAATCCTTTCAAACCTTCCAAATTCAATATCATTTCAACGGTGGTCTCAAAAGTCGCAACCTTCTTGAATTACTCTCTAACTGTCAAACAAGTGAAGCAACTCCATGCCCTAATAGTCATCAATGGTCTTAACTATCTTGAGCCGATGGTAATCACCCAGATTGTTAGCACTCCATCTAATCATTCTGAATCCATTATTCATTATCTTCGATCGCTTCTCCACCAATCGAAACATCCAAATATCGTTTCAAGAACATTTGCGATCCAGAGCATGGGAAGTTTCAAGAAGTCTTGGCGGAGTATGTGCATATGCAGAGATTAGAGATTTTGCCTACCATTTCAGCTGTTGCATTTGCGCTAACGGCGTGTGCGAATCTCGGGAATCGGATTGGTGGATAACGATACATTCTCAAATTCATGGATATGGGCTTTGTGGGGATGTTCATGTGGGAACTGCTCTTGTCAGGTTCTATTCGAAACTTAATGATATTGAGACCGCAAAGAAGGTGTTCATTGAAATGACAGAGAGAAATGCAGCATCTCGTTTGATAGATGGGTATCTAGAATCAGGGAATTTGTCCATGGCGGAACGAGTGTTTTCCGAGATGGGAAATAAGGATATTGCTTCTTGGAATTCTATGGTTTCGTGGTACACGAAAACAGGGGATATGGCGAAGGCTATAGCTTCATTTGGACCGATGCCTGATAAAAATTCAGCTTCATGGAGTGCGATGATTGGTGGTTATGTTGATTCTGGGAACATGGAAATCGCACGCAATTTCTATGACGTGATGCCTGAACAAGACGTTGTTTCATGTATCAAAATGATTGATGGATACGCACTAAAGGGAGCTGTTGAATCTGCACGCCGAATATTTGATGAAATGGGTGAAAAGAATCGGTTGCTGTACAATGCCATGATAACTTGTTATGCTCGAAATGGCTGGTTAAAAGATGCACTCCAACTGTTTGATGAAATGCTTCAACCAAATGTGAGCATTCAACCCGATAGCGTAACATTAGCTACGGTTATATCCATTTGTTATCAATTGGGGGACTTGAGGTTTGGCTCGTGGATCAACGACACATTAATGAATCAAATGGGAATCGTGATGGACGATTGTTTGCGTGTTCTGCTAATAGATTTATACGCAAAATTTGGGTGTGTTGATAAAGCTTACGAGTTGTTTCACGGCTTGCAGAGGAAAGAAGCAAGTGTTTAAACAACGATGATATTGGCATGTAGCAGAAACGGATGGAAACACGAATGTATCGAATTGTTTGCAGAGATGTTGGAGGCTAAAATCTGCCCGAATTTAGTAACCTTTTCGGGTCTTTTAACTGCATTGAATCATGCGGGTATGGTCCAAGAAAGTTACCACTGCTTTTATACCGTGAACCCATTATCATTGAACCATAAGAACTGGTTTCAAGAAAGTTACCGTCGTGCTAGCCCCTTACCCCTTCAAAGACCATCGAACCATACGGGTTGGGTTCAAGAACATGTCGACTCTACTAACCCGTTAACCCCTTTTAGACAATCGAACCATTTTGGTTCGCCCGAAGAAACTTACCATGGTGCTAGCTCATTAACCCCTCCAAGACCATTGAACCACCATTTGGATTGGGTTCAACAAGTTAACTATACTAGCCCATTAGCCCCATTGAACCATGAGGATAGGGTGCGGTTTAACCCAACCGGCCCATTACCCCCACCCAGACCATTGAACCATCCAATCCAATTGAATATGGTTGAACAAGATTACCAAGGATTTAATTCTACTAGCCAATATACTACTACCAACACCTGACTAAAATTTAAATATCTTAATTTATTTTTTACAACTAACAGGGTGCTCACACAATGTATCGAGATACATCTCGATTTCAGTGTGTTATTTTATTTTATTTTTATGACGATATAATACGATTTTATGTGGTTTTGAGAAAAAGATAATGTTTTTTATTTTTGAATATAATAAATTTGAAAATATCATAAAATTTTGAAATAAAATATATCGATATCAGTATTAAATTGACCTTTTTAAAAGTTGTTGTTTTTGGTGTAATTTTCTTAATTCAGTTTTTTATTATAATTTAATTTAGGTTTAGTAACAAAGTAATTTAATTTAGGTTTAATAATATAATTTTTTATAAAGATAATAATTAAGTATTCTATTAAAATTAATGATTATCCTAATTATATTTTAGATTTTTTATATTTAAAATGAGATGTTTATCCAATATTTGATTATGTATCTGCAGTTAATTACACGAATTCAAATATGGAGCTTTAATAAGTTGTATTCATGCACAATTTTCTTTTAATCTTAATTTTTAAGTAATATGCATCACTAAACAATACTTTGTGCATAAACAATGGTTTTTAATAGTTTTTGTCTAATGCTTTATAATATAGTATAGATTCGTATTTACAAAAACGAGTAAATTACATTTTTTTTGTCGAACGTGGTTTGTTAAAAGTTGCTATTTTTTATAAAATTACAATTTTCATCTTTATGATTTACAATTTATAACCAATTTATGTTTTCGTCTGTGTGGTTTACAATGTCTTGTTGTTTTAGTCTCTTATACTTAAAGGTAAGTGTTAGTTCACGAACAAAAATAATAATGAATTACGACCATGAGAGAAACAACTTATTAAGGAGTCTTTTACCAAAACGCTTACCATACCAGTAAGAGTCGACACTTTAATTTACTTTACCAGGTAAAATTGTAGTTCATCAAAACAATATCATATGAAACTATTTACCATGTAAGTGTTTATCGGGTAAGACTCTTCATCCTTGTGATATCTTTTATCAGGTAAAATTCTCGACCTTTACCATGTACATTCAGTGTGCATTTGGTACATTAGACATGATAGAACAAGACAGTAATATATGTCTCATGTTTGACATGACTTTTATGTGGAATAGACAGAAACAAAGTGTAACATCCATGTTTCACCCCTACCCATGGAATAGGGTGGAACAAGGCGGAACATACTTATATTTTATTAGTATAACTTCAAAATAGAACTTAATTTTCTTCTAAAAAATTAAAGAGATTTTTTTACATTTTATTTATTGTATTTCATGTTTCTTAAACTTTTATTTTATTGTCCTCAAAATATTATTTTATACAGTTTTTGTATTTTTATTAATTTATTATTATATATTAATAATAAAAGATAATATAGAAAAGAGATAAAAATAAAATTTGGAAACAACATTGACTTTTTATTTGGTGTCATTTTAATTGTTTTGACGGAAACTTTCTAATAATATATTTTGTTATAAAAAATAATTACTTTATTATAATTTAATAAATTACATAAATTAATTAGAATAAACAACTCATCAGGGGTAAATTGTTCATTTTACTTGTTTAGACCAGTTTTATCTTACCAAACATTGAACAATTATTATATTCTGTTCTGTTATGTTCTGTCCGGCCACCAAACACAACTTTAATAAGAGAAAATGTCCAATTTTCAAAAATTTCATTTTATTGTGTGTTTGTAATTATTATTTTAATTAATATTTTATCAGTTAAGACAGACTAACAACTTTTTATTTCATATTTAAAGTTGGTAAGAAAAACTAATCTTTGAAAGGGACCGATCACCTATTATCCATTTATCTTTTTTTTGGGCAATTTTGGAGGCTAAGCATGGCCCCACTTAAATGTCGCCAACACTCCCCTCCCAGGGCTCGAATTCGGGTTCATGACTATGCCATGCCCAAGCCTTTACCACTAGGCTGGAAGGTCTTTGACTATTATCCATTTATCTTCATGTCTAATATACATTATATATGTATATGTATATAATTAGTAGTTATATTTTAATAAAAGAACAAATTACATGAAAAAGTAAAGTACTTAAATTTGATTCTAATTTTAGGTAACGTACTTTTAAAACTTTCATTTTGGTACCTAAGATGTAAAATTTTAAATATTTAAGTACCCGGATAACCGGTTGAAGCATTAATCAGTTACCATGTTGATGTGGCGAGTGATATGAGCATGAATATCTTAATACTGAGTTGGGTATCACATTACTGACCACATCAATCGGTTATTCATGTATTTAAATGTTTAAAACTTTACATCTTATGTATTAAAATGAAGTTTTTAAAGTACGTCATCCAAAATATGAATCAAGTTAAAGTACGTTATTTTTCAAGCAATTTGTCATTTAATAAAATATAATAAATAATTAATAATAAAATAAAAAGGTATACATCACCATGCGCTCCTTTCTATATTTATTTATAGCATCTGAACTTATGAAAACTCACCACATAACCCCCAAGTTTACAACTCATACGTTTCTATGGTTCCCGTTCCAAGACTTGTGACTTCCCCTTTTCTATACCTTTTGTTAATGTAAATAAAATATTAAATGAAAATTATATATAGAGAGAGAAGCGATCAAATGCAAACCATTTAATTTGTGCAAACCGTATTTAATAAATCATAATTTTTTATTTTGTTTATTTTTTTTTTGTAATTATGAGAGGTTGACTAATCATTTTTATTGTAGAGGGTCTCATGGATATTATCATATTCATTATTTTAAATTTAGAGAAATTCATGAAACAATTTTATTAAAATTTATTAATATTATATGAAACAATTTCATAAACATATATGAGACAACTTCATCAAAAAAAAAGTATTATATGAAACAATTTCACAAGATTAAACAATTTCATGAAATTTTTTCATAAGATTAAACAATGAAATCGACGGATAAAGATGGTTTGCAGATTTTTCGTAAGACCCGTAACACCAATTTATGTTTATTGATCAACTTTATAAGCTAATGATCCAATGGTCTAAAGTTGCACGGTGTCCATTTTGTGATTATTGAAAAGTCTCATGACAATTTTGTGATTATGAATGTTCAGATTGTAGATCTAATCCAAAGGTTGAGAATTATTCTTACGGGTTTCATGAAAAATCTTTGGTCTCACGTGATCCCAAGTCTATATATATACCCTTCTCTCTCTCTATATATATATATAATTCTCTCTCTCTCTCTATATATATAACCCTTTGTCAACCCGGACTCCTTTGAATATAAGTAGATAATTCTCTCTCTCTCTCTCTATATATATATACACACACATATCTCTCTCTCTCTACATATATATACATATTTGTCTCTCTCTCTCTCTCTATACCCTTCTCTCTGTATATATATATATATATATATGTATATCTCAGTGAAGTTGACAAAAAATGGAAAAGCTGGAAAAAGAAGAGGTGAAACGTGAAGTGTGGGACTGTGGCAGCTCTCTTTACGATTCATTTGAACTCAAATCTCTACAACACCAACTTCACTCTGCAATCTCCGGCAGAAGCATGTCAATGCCCCACCTCTCCCACCACCATCAACCACCCTTCAACCACCACAAACCACCCAAGAAACACTACTCCAAAATCTCCATCAGGTCACTTCACAAACTCCTCCGATCAGTTTTCCGGCCTAAACAAAACCACACCAATACCTCCTCCACCTCAACTTTCTACGTCTACGATACTTCCACTGCACTGTCTACCATCCCGGAGCTGCCGGAAACGTTGCCGGAGTTTGATGGGGTTTCGCCGGAGATCAAATCTTTGGTTACAAGAACACAGTCTGATCGGTTGATGTCCGCTTCTCTTGGTATATCATGTGTTTGACAGTTTTACTGAAGTTTTTTTAATTAATTTTCTAATTAATTTTATGTTAATTATATAGTAGTATAATTTTATATATATATATATATATATATATAATTTTAATGATCTAAAGTTATATGGTGATAATTTTGTGATTATTGAGAACTCTCGTGGTGTTTATAAATGTTTAGATTGTTAGATTGTAGATCTAATCCAATAATTGAGAATTGATCTTACGGGTTTTACGAAAAACTTTTGGCTTCACATGATTCCAAGTATATATATAATATATTCAAATTTTATTCCATTTTTAGATTAAATTTTGATGTAACTATTACACTTGGCTCATCTCAATGTTTTTGTAAATCATGTTATACCTCTAATAAAAGAGCAAATTACATGAAAAAATAACGTACTTTAATTTGATTCTTATTTTATATAACGTACTTTCAAACTTCCATTTTAGTACCTAAGATGTAAAATTTTAAACATTTAAGTACTCGAGTAACCGGTTATCATGTTGATTTGGCGAGTGATATGGTATCCAACTCAATATTATTTGCTAACGTGGTTAGTGACATGAATTTTTTTAATCTAAAATTAGTTTCGACCGGTTACCCATGTACTTAAATGTTTAGAACTTTACATCTTAGATACCAAAATGAAAGTTTTGAAAGTACGTTATCTAAAATATGAATATTTTTTTATTCATTTAGCCCCTAATAAAACAATAAATCGTTTGAACTGAGTAATAAATAAAATAAAATAAAATATAAAATTTAATATCATATTAAAAAATTTAGCAATTTAAAACAATAAATATCTTATAACGACAACAACATCAAAAGAGTCTGATTTTGAAAAAATTAGATAGATCTTCACTGAGGTAGTTTCATAAGTCATATTATATAAGTGCTGACCTCAAGCGCAAGTAAGGGGCGGTTTACCAAATGCTCACCCGAGTAAGCGCTTACCAAATCACATTACATTATCGGATGAATATGGTAAGGACTAATAATCTTACCTAGTAAGAGCAAGACAAAGACCAAAAGTCTTACCCGGTAAGTGAGGGAAACGACTCTTACCACGGTAAGTGCTTACCGGGTAAATTATTGCATACAATGCCGTTTTGATGGACTAAAATCTTACCCGTTAAGTAAATGATAGTGTTAATTTTTATCGGTAAACACTTACCGGGTAAGTGTTTGATAAACGGCCTCTAAAATTGGCCCCCAAAATTTTGGAGACCCTGTTCAAAAACCAAGATTTAACATGCTAATAGACAGTATTGCTTGTACTGTTGATTGTAGAAGAAAACTGTATTATAAATTATAAACTAGCTTTTCTATGCGAAACATCAATGATTGTCGTTAATAAAATCGAATTCGTTTTTCAGTTTTTGTCTTATTTCTAAATGAATTATCTCGTCAAATACGCGATATAACTCCAACGACAAAGATCATAAAGAAGTTGTCATTTGAATCCAAACAAAGTATAATATTTCCAAGGACAAAAACCGAGAAGGATTGGTCCTTTGAGAACCAAAACACGGGTTCGGGCCAGTTCTTTAGTTCACGACCGTTTTAGGAAAAAACTGAACGGATCCGGTGAAAACCCCTTGTAAATGTCGGTTTTAGAATTGGGTGCGAGTGATTATTACTCAATTTTTTTTTCTTGTTTTTGTAAAAAAATAAGAACAACAATCAACGACTATCAAGTCTGGATCATGAAAATTGAGTTAATAAACGGTCCTTAATTGACAAATTGCATGAAAGAGTAACGTACTTTGATTTGATTCATATTTTGCGTAACGTACTTTCAAAACTTTCATTTTGGTACCTAAGATGTAAAGTTTTAAACATTTAAGTACCCGAATAATCGTTGAACCATTAACCGGTTATCATGTTGATGTGACGAGTGATGTGGTATCCAACTCAATATTATTTGAATACGTGGTTAGTGACATGAACTTTTTAAAATCCAAAACTAGTTTTTTTTTTAATCTAAAATTAGTCTTTAACCGTTACTTGGGTACTTAAATGTTTAAAACTTTACATCTTAGGTATCAAAATAGAAGTTTTAAAAAAACGTTATCCAAAATAAAAATCAAGTTAAAATACATTATTTTTTCTAGTTAGATAATTCTATAAATTATTAAAAATACATTTACAAACGAAGGATGAAACATTTATTCAGACGACTTTATACGAATGTCTTAAAAAATAAGATTTCATTAATAAAAAATTCATGCATGGTGGTGACTGAAATAAAAACTTAATTAATATATAATAATTATAATAATATTAATTAATAAATAATAATAATAATAATGGACATTGATGCATGACATGGATCATTCATGCACGTCTCCATTAAAATACAAAAATTCAGAATGGTTTGGTATAAATTTATTAAGTAGTTAAAATGATTAAGTGACTCTCATGATATAATATAAAATAAGATATGATTATCTGGTATTTGTTTACAATGAAATTAAGATGTTGAATGGTTAAAAGAGACATATGATATAAAACCATTCAGATGATTTTGGAACCATTAAGAGACATATTATTTTTTCGCTGAATAAGATTCATCTCTTAACGATTCGAAGGCTGCCTCTTAGTGAAACTATTAAGATGTAAACAAACAACCCCTTACCACCCACAAGTTTGTTTCTGAAACAATTATTATTTGGCTCGAAGTTGTGGTTTGCTTGTTGTTTTCACGTCCGCTTTGCGTCATTGTATTGCTTCCATTTTTTAACGTTTGAGGTTCCAAAAAGCAAGTTATTTCGAGGCTTCAAAAGTTGTTTGCATCATCGTTTACCTCTTGTCTTTTGTAGTTCAAGTTCCCTAAAAGCGTTTGTCTGGAGGTCTGTCTATAGTAACCCGCATCACTGTTTACAGAGCGGAACACAAATGGACTGGATCAGCAATAGTGGAGAGGCCTAAAAGAATTTTATACTTAAAACCTTAATGAACTGGAGATGCTTCACTTTATCGGGGGGAAAAACCGGGGGCCAAGGCCCCTATGGCCATCCTCCCCGACTGTTTTGGCTTTGACTAGATTCAAGGCTTTTCCTTTATTTTCAGTGTCGTTTTTCTGGCTATGTTGACCCAAGATGTCTCTTTCTGTGTTACATGTTTTCTATTTTATTATGCTTTTTTAGCATCTTATAGAAAGTTTATTGTTTAAGCTGTTATCGTTTTTTATTTGTTAACATACTTGAGTTGGCATTTCGTAGAAAAATGTTAATATAGATTTAGAAATCTTTATAAAACAATTTTGATGACTTATGAACTGTTCGGTTGCTTTTCTATTAAGTCATGTATGAATAAAGTCGTCTATGTTGATTAATCTGTATATATAGATTGAGAAAACAGTTCCTTCATAGATGGAATGAACGTGTTTTTACTATGGAGCGGTAAGATTGAAAAAAAAAACTTGGCTTTTTGTATAAAGCTCTCCCTAAAAGTTTACTGGAAAAAAAAAACTGGAAGAGTGCTTTTAATATATGCGATTACACAAGAAAATGAGGTTTTGGTTTTTTATTTTTTCAAAACAGATTCTTTATATGGTTATCTAAAATAGAGAAAACTATTAGAGATTTGTCTAAAACCTGATGTGTGGAGAGAGAAATTATTTTTTCGTTCATTTCTGCCGATAAGATTTAATCATTATTATTTTATATTAATTAATTAATTATTTTTTAAAAGGTATATTGAGATGATAAATTTATATAATATAATAAATGTTTAAATATACAAAATACAGTATATACAAAATACAGTATCTGTTAGACTGTAAATTTTTGTAGAGATTTTAACTGTTAGATTGTTTATTTTAGAGTAAACTCTAATTTTGGTCTATGAGGTTTAATGAAATATTTGAAAGTGGTACCTAAATTTTGATAAGTCTAGAAATTGTTCTTGCGGTTTTCATTTTGCTCTGAAAAATGGTCCCTGGTCACTAACTCTGTTAACAATCTTCGTTAAAGTGAAGAACAGTTTAGTCTTTTTATCTATTTTCTTTAAATATCTTTAAAAAAATATAATATATAATTTATTAAATTATATATATATTTTTATATTTATATATTGTTTATTTATTTATTATCACTAGAAGAGTACTCTTGTAATGCAGCGAGACACATCTCGATTTTAATGTTTTATTTTATTATTTGTCACTGTCGATATTATAATACGATTTTATGTGTTTTTAAGAAAACAATAATGATTTTATTTTTGAATAAAATATAAATTTGAAGATATCATAAAAATTTGAAAAAAAAATGTATCAATGTTAATATCAAATCAACTATTTAAAAGTTCTCATTTTTTATGTAATTTTTCTTTAATTTATTTTTTTATTATAATTTAATTTAGATTTAATAACGAACTAATTTATTTTTGGTTTAATAATATAACATTTTATAAAGATAATAATTAMGTATTCTGTTAGAATTCAACGATTATCCTAATTATATTTTAAATTTTTTATATTTAAAATAAGATGTTTATCCAATATTTGATTATGTTTATCTACAGTTAGTTACACAAATTCAAATATGAAGCTTTAATAAATTGTACTTATGCACAATTTACTTGTACTCTTAAATTTTAAGTAACATGCATCAATAAACAGTACTTCGTGTATAAAAAGTAAGTTTTAAGAGTTTTTGTCAAATGCTTTATAATATATATATATATATATATATATATACATATATTTTATTAATATATAAATTTAAGACGGGAATATCTATACTATATTATAAAGCATTTGGCTAAAACTCTTAAAAACTCTTAAAACTCTTAAAAACTCTTAAAACTCTTAAAAACTCTTAAAACTCTTAAATCCGTTCATCTCTATCCGATTTCATCCCATATCTGAATTCGTGTAACTAACTGCAGATAAACACAATCAAATACAGGATAAACATCTCATTTTAAATATAAATA